AGTCACCTTATGTCTTCAACTTCGCCCGTAATATCAGAATACCGGAACATGATGTTGTTCAGCCAGAGATCGCCGTGGATAAAGACATTGAAATCGCCATCTTTCCTTGCTGAATCTTTAATCAAGCAGTCAACAGCTTTATCAGCTAGTTTGTAAAGCTTACTGGCGAAATGGCTGTAACTGTCTTGCCACTTCTCAACTTGTTTCGCCACATTCCGAATGCTACCGCAAAATAGAGGTTCCAGTTCTTTGCGACAGCTCTCAACGTACCAGCCGTTAACAAAAGGCTTCATCATTTCTGGATCTTCACGATTCAGAACCGCGGAGGCCGCGTGGCACCGAGCTATGGCCCTCACCACAAGCAGGCAATGGTCTAAATCCAGTCCGACTCTTCTCTGTGCCATCCTGAATCCCTGTTCCTTCAGATCTTCGAGTACAATGACAGTCGATGGGGGCCCAATGTGATAATACAAACACTTGGCTGTGTAGGGCTGGAATGTTCCGGGCGACGCGTCGTCTAAGATACGATGGACGGCTGGCATAACCGATACAAAAGCATTGATTTCTCTTTCAAATATATTTGCCGTGGACAACATCTGTAAAGAGGATTAATTAAAATAAACTTATTCCCCAGAATTAACATTATTATACAGAATTTCCCCCTCAAAAAAGTGTATAAACACGTTCGATGAATGAAATAAATACATTTTAGTAAACTAAACAGTCAAATACGTCAGTATTGGCACTTGGCGAATTAGCGAATCTATTGTAGAAGTTCAAAATGGCCGCCAAAAACAAAAGACTGACAAGCTGCCATTGCTGCTCGGACCACTGCGCATGCGCGTTCAGTTTCTTGCCAGAGCTCTCGAGGTGTTGCTGGCTTCTCGCTGTACACAACACATTATCTGCTGGGCCGGGACAGGAGTTGTCAAGACAGGTGCTGACATCTGGATAGTACTGTTTTGCTGACGTCACCAAACAACTGACGAACGGCGAGAGTAATGGATTCATGAATGTTTTTACGTAATGTTTGAGACATTTTATGTATTAGGGCATTTGACTTCAATATTTATTGAATAACTAGGATGTGTTATGAAAATGATGACGTGTTTACCTTAGATAATTCTTCTTTCGTAGGCTCTGACTTGACGATTAACGATATGGTATCTGCCTGTCCATCCCGAGTGAAGCGAACAGTGACTCTGTATATGTCACTGGCGTAGTTGTCTCCTGCTACGGTTGCGCGTATCACGTCACTAGAGGTCACTGTCATACTTGAACCGTTTGCCCCTGACCTCAAAGCTATCTCAAGGAAGGAATCGTCCAGCCACTTTGGCTTAATAATGTCGGTCATTCTGATAACGATTTGCACTGATGCTGTTCCTGGTACGTAAATAGAAATGCAGAGGACAGTAATTCCTAACGAGCAGCAACATTTATTTTAGGCTTCCGAAACACTACTGAATGTAAAATAATGGATAATTTAGTTTAGGCTTCCCAAACACTACTGAATGTAAAATAATGGATTTGTAACACAACAGCTTGGACAGGAAACACGCATGAGGTTTATAACAGCCATTGGAATGTAATGCGGTTCGTAATCGAGGGTTCTGCTGTTATTGGTGTAGGGCGAGGTTCATCTGTGGGTCACGTTACTCGGCAAAAATTGCCTGAAGGCCAACGTATTGAACGTTAAAAACAAAACGGAACTCAACTTGCGTCATTACAAGGAGAATTTCGAAAATATTTTTGTAACAAGACAGTAAAATGGCGACTGTACCTGACAAAGCGTTACGTGACAATCGATCCATTCCATAAAATGTGAACAATGTTCAACGAGGTTTTCGGAGGTAATTCTATAAAAAAATCCATCCATGTGGGAATTAAATTAGATATGAGTCGCCATTTTATAGTCACGTGAACAGTTGCGTTCCTAGTGGCCATCTTTATAATTACAGCCTTTCTCCGCAAGAAACAAAACACTTTCGTAGTTTTGTCAATGACGATCTGATTAATTTCTGCAAGTTGTTTGCTTTTCGTCAAATGAATATTCAACTCCTCTTAGGTCCTTTAGGTTCACTCCGAATGTTACGTATTCTCTTTTTATTGAATATTATTTGTGTTTAGGCAACGTAATAATCTCTGGTAAGTATTATCAGTGACTGCTGTTCTCCTAACCTCTATTTCCCAAAGGCTGCCATGTTGTAAGAAATTAACGAGTTTGATAGATGAAATGAATTCTTTTAGAAGCAAGTTGTCACTCATCTAGTCAAGATATTAAGATTCATAAGAAACCATTATTAAACCATTTCCTCATTCAGTTTAATTAAAATATCCTCATGCCAAATGACATTTCTAAATCTATTTAAAAATTATCATTTTAGATTAAAATATTCAACTCGACACTTTATTTTCGAATATATTAAATTTATTTTGTTTTCTTTAGGTAAGCGTTGAACAAACATGATCGATTATATAGAATTATGTAGACGTCCTAATGGTCGATGTGTTTTCTACGAGATAAAGAATTATGAATAAGCAACATCACCAAATAATTTTATATTCGATTATAAAATTCAAGTGCCCTGTCCATATTATAAATTTGAATACAAGAAAGACTTATTTTTTAAAAAAAAATACAGACGATCTGTAGCGAATCAAAATGACAGAAAACTCACCCAGCGATGTGAAGTCCCATACAAACACTGAGCTGATATAATCACTACACACAGCAGAATATTCTGCTCGCATTATCTCCTTGGGTTAACGCGTCATTTACAGTTATCTTTAAGGTCTTTATCATTTTAGAACATAACACCACATTTATAATACACAGACGAAACAATTAATACTCACTTTGTTATTAGGGCGATTTCCTGTTAATTTATGTTCCTTGTACATTTCGTAATCAGACGAGACAGACTCCTTTTATAGAAGATTTTGATTTTTAAAATTAATATAATTTTATCACTGTAGGTCTCTGACATTTTTATCAAACTCTGGCTGTTAAAATCTCTCCCTGAACAAGTGGTTATTACACTTATTAATCTAAATTATCAATTATGGTTTATATCTTATGTCAATTTGAGGGGAAATTTTAAAGTAGAATTATAATCAAAAGGTTTCATATGTGAAATAAGCTCGTAATATCGATATATCGATATATCGAAGAAAAATGTTGGTAACACTGTAACCGTTCTGCTCCGTCCTTGCTGAACGTAGCCTCCACTACGATGTGCTCAGCTCAGCTAGTCGGGTATGCATCGACCAACTCTCATTCGATGTCACGGCAAGTTCGTAACAGCCCGATTTAACACTCGGATTTATTTCGGATGGAACACGCTATTTATTCACGATCGTTGATCAACATAACCTGATCCCACTTCACGCAGTCCAATCCTTGATATTTCACACTTACGGTTGGACAATCAAAATTACCCACTTTTCCCAAAAGGAAATGTAACATCAACTCCTATTGGTGCGGGTTTAGGTTTGGTTCGAAGGACCTCCCCTTTCCCACCGATCCTCTCACACTCTTATTCTAAAGTCCATCGCTAACGCCTGGCAAAACCCACTTAGGCTAAAAACAGTTCATTTATGCACACAAAAGAATTCCAAGGCTGGTAAATTCCTAAAACCTCTGCGTCCCCACGAACCTCAGGTCCCGCTATAACACTTAGAATCGGCTCGCAATTTCCGATCCACAATATAAATGAAACACAAAGGAATCATAGACTAACAAAAAAAAAATCATCACAATAAATTGCCAATTGCGGATATGAACAGCGTATTTTTTAAAATAATAAATTTTGTACATGCAGTGGTGTCATGTAGAAATACATAGACTCTGAAAGCGATGCTGTAAATAAGGTGGTTAGAAACATCATTACAACGAGTTTCAACATGGCACTGAGTTATATGGGCATACAATATAGACTTACGGTGGTATTCCATAATATCATCCATTTCAGCAAATGAACGTTATGTATATATAATATTTTATTAAAATTAAGTATAATATTTTTTTCACATTTCAAACATACGACTTAAATCGCACATAATGTGTATAACATTAAAATATTTTTAAAATTAAACTTCCCACGAAGAAATGCTTACGTTCTACTGTGTAGAAATTATATTCCATATAACCTAACATAACCTAACCTAGGTTAGGTTAGGTTAGGCTAGGTTAGGTTAGGTTAGGTTAGGTTGGGTTAGGTTAGGTTAGATTAGGTTTGGTTAGGTTATATTAGGTTAGTTTAGGTTGAGTTAGGTTGGGTTAGGTTAAGTTAGGTTGAGATTGGTTAGGTTGAGTTAGGTTAGGTTAGGTTAGGTTAGGGTACTTTGATTTAATTTCTGTTGTTGCTGAAAATGTATTTTCACACAGATACATCGTTCCAAAACATAATAGCACATCGGTGACTTGTTGCGACAGTTTCAAGTGTTTCTTTTACATATGAAACCAAAATGTATAAAAATACAAAGCTTCAAACTTGATCTCGAGAGATGTATCGCAGGAAAGTTCCAAACATATATTCATTTGTTTTTAGAGAAAAGTTAATTATTTTCTCATCGACTGTGACTGCAAATGGATCTCTCGCCCATAAAAATTTCTGAAGGCTTAATTCTAGAAACGGACTTATAACATTTCTCTCAAGATCAGTGAGATGAGTCTGAATATAAGAATTATATTTCTTAAAACTCTTATTATTTTAATCTAGGAATCCAGTCATGTTGACAAGAATTTCTAGGATGTATTTTTCACAAAGGCTTTTGTATAGCATCATCTATCATCATGAATGCTGTAACCTTGACAAAACGCTTAGAAACGGCCTAATCTTTACCTTGAAGAGAAGTGTTTCGTCTACTGAGCTTATCAAATATATCTGACAGGTGTGTCAGAAGATCCAGACACTTCTTATCTGGCAGTTGTTTAAAAAGTGGAGATCTCGAGACTGCAGAGAACTGCGTATTTCTTTTTATCCACAACCAACGTTTAAGAACTTTACTCCTCGATAACCAGCTCGCCTCCGATTTAAAAAATAAATGACTTGTTATCTTGCTGCATTTTCTCAAGGTCACGTCTTGCGAAAATGAACGTTTTCTTCGAAAGAGTATCTTTCGAATATAGGTTGAGTCAAAAGTATGTTTACCTACTTGGATCAAAGATAAGGATAAATGTTCCTATGAACATGCTTTCGCCAAGAGCAAACTATTGACTGGATTTAATCCTAGTCATCTGTTGTCCCTTGATATCTTCTGACATCGATTCGAATCGTCGAATTGCTGTATTATTAGACAAAGGAACTGGTTTAAGAACTTTTTATAGCTTCTGGAAGCAATAATGTCTCCCCAGTGAAATAAAGTTTTCCATTTTTTAATTTTACTGTTAAATACGTATGAAAAAATTAAAGACGACCTCACCACAATCACACTGGGGAAGCTCTTTCGATCTTAATAATCGATAAGTAAAATCGAATGTCAAGCAACTGGTTGAGACCAAAATATCGATATCAGTATCAAGAATCGATCATTGCTTTATGAGCCACAAAATGCATTTCTCTTGTCTTTAGTACATCAAAATATCGATATCAGTTTCAAGAATCGATGATCGCTTTATGAGCCAAAAAATGCATTTCTCTTGTCTTTAGTACAATTTGAGGTTATGACGTCAGTGAATACGAAGATTGTGATACTCAAGACAACATTGACCTCTAAAACGTTGGTAAGAATGTTCCACACTACGCGTGACACTGCAACACAGACGACAACCGACTTTCTTGTTTTTGTTTTTATAACGAACCTTTCCTAACCTTGATCCCCACCTAACTTCCTGTTCATAAACCCACTCTCTCCCCCCCTCTCCGACCTCTACATGTCGACCTTCAAACTTCGCTGAAACAGGTTCTGTCACAGAAGATACACGAAATCATCACGTGAAAGTAAAACACGTAGTTCTGTACGTTTCCATCAGCTTCAATCTCTTTTCTACAAACACAAACATTGTTTACGGAAATAAAAGTCAACTTGTCATGTTTACTTCATAGGATATTTGAACAGTTGGGCTGCTAAACGAATAAAATGTCACTTGTTAAAATAACAGAAACTAAAGAATCAAAGATGGATGCCTTCTACGTTGTGCTGTGTAGTATGGAAGTTTGGCAACGTTCCAGAGGTACTTCCTTCCCACCCAGAAGACAGCCATCTTTGAACTCACTGCCGTGAGAGCTTCAAATCGTACCTAAAAAGGCATCATTTGTAGAATTAATTTCTGTGGACAGTAAGTTTCTACATTTATTAAATCATCGCGATCCATTCTGTGTTAATTTTACACCCAAGTTAAGTCAGAGCCTACAGGTATATTTAAAGCCTTCTTGCACGTCGATTTTCACAAACTGTTCACTGTCTGCACCGTTGAACACCGGGACTCACCGCGATGTACCAAAAACAATTTTTTTAAATCCACTTTTGATAATCACTAAGGCATTTTAACTTTTAAAGGAATGAGCCATATTAAAAATATTTTAATAAGCAGTTTTGTCATTATTTCTGGACATCAGAAAAGAGATCGTTAGTGAAACGACAGGGGATTAAACCTGATGTTGGCAACACTGCTTCAAGTCATACGTAAAAATTACATAAATAAAAACAGGGAACATCTTTGAACAACTTTAATGGATTTGAGGAATAAGCTATAGATCATTAATTTATAATGTTCATTTCTTTAACATATACATTACACATAAATGTAATTGTCGTAGTTTATTCCCAAAAAGATTGTATCCTTCGCTACTCAGAAGGTATTTTCAACTCTTGGCTCTGACGATCGATTCAGGGCATAGTTACTATCGATACTCGACAAAATTCTGTTACACGACTGTCTTCTAGAGCGTATGTCAGTATCGATTGTTATGTTTCTCGACTGGTAACCAAATTGGATTCGTTTTCTTTTCTACTGAGTAATATATCCCTGTATTGTCGAATGAAACAGTGATTATGATTCATGAGTTGGACCGTTAGATTCATGGTACAGCTGACAAACGGCCACCGTATTGTAATGTGTATATATATTTTTGGGACACACTGTACACGCGAGCACATGACACATACAGACATACGAGGTGCTACCCAAAAGTTCAGGGAAGAATTGCTTATCTTAACTCCTAGTTTCCACCGTCTCCTTCGAAGTAGTTCCCTTGCGCATGGATACAGAGATCCTAGCGTTTCTTTTCCGTAATTCCATGCATCCCTGGAAGTCTTCAATTGTGTCAAAACGAAGGCAGTCAATCGAAATTTCATTGTCATTTATGGAGGTTTATAAAAATCCCCGAACCACTACAACACAACGTTACAAAAACGCACGAGACTCAAGAACGCGGCCTCTCGCCTTCACGGCTGTTGTCACACTAATTCACAAAGGGTACAGCTTGTCCCATCTAGCGGCGGTAGGCCATACCACAACCGGTTCGCGCGTGGAACTTTTGGATAGCACCTCGTACATGTTAAGTATGCTTCTGTGTTAAATAACATATGTCAGGATGACAAGGCAGAATTCTCAGCAAAAAAAAAAGGAGCGAGTTTTGTAAAGGTCAAGTGTTTATCTTATTGTGATGTAATTCGTGAAGGCCGAAACACACAGCTGATACAGCCATACACAGAAAGGACAAACCAG